GAATATGCACAGCAAGCTGTATGGCAACCCGGACAACCTGTCTCTGCTACCCAGCCGGGCTTCCAAGGCAACATGATTCCTCCTCAGCCTCATCCCGAGCAGATGCATCCTCAATATGCCCAATCACCAGCTCAGCCTGCCCAAGCGCCTTCTCAGCCTAGTCAAATGAGTTTCCGTCCTGGTCAGCCACTTCCTCAAACTGATCCGTTGCCTCCTCAAGCCAATCAGTTTCCTCAAACCAGTCAGGGATCTCTGCAACCAAGCCAAATGCCTCAGCCAGGACAAATGCTTCCTCAAGCAGGACGAGCTCCTATCCAGCCAGGCCAGATCCCTCCCCAAACAGTTCAAGGACCTCCCCAACGACAGCCACCTCCTCAGCAAGGACAGATGCCACCTCGGCAGAGTCAAATGCCTTCCCAACCAGGACCAAACCAGACGCAAACAGGCCATATTCCTCTTCAAGCAAGGCAATCGCCTCCTCCAACCCAGCAGTCACCTCCTCAACAAGAGCGAATGGCTCCTCAACAGGTGCAAACACAACCACAGTTTAATCAGATGGCTTCAAAGCCTGGCCAAGTTTCCCAGTCGAGCCAGGCACCAAGAGATCGACAAGCTGAGCCTAGGGCATATCCAACGGGAAGACCATCTGCAGCTGAGGGCGCTGCACCACCTGCGACTTTGCCTCCTGAAGTACCGGAACCTTCTTTGGCTCCTCCAAGAGTTGAATCTAGCAACATGCCTCGTCAACAAGCACCACCTCAGAGACAGCCATCTCCAGCCCAGCCCAAACCCTTGGAACAAGTACCTGTGCCTCAGCCTAAGGCTCCCGAGCCTACTCAGCCTGCTCAAACCTTTGCACCAAACACCCTTCAACCTCAGCCAAACACTCAAAGAGGTATAACCCCACCCCCGCCTGCAGTGAGCCCAGGCTTGTCTGATGCTGCTGCTTCTTCAATAAGTCGCATGTCTTCTTACAGAAGAGACAGCTTCTCAGATGCTGGGTCAATCACAACAATCGAGGTGGCACAAGCACAGCCACAGCCTGTATTGAAGCCTTCCATCGTTCAAGTCCACAGGAGATCAACAGACATGTTTAACAAATCTCAAGTTCATCTGAACAATGACTCTCAGTCAAGCTCAGATGTCACTCCGAGAATATCCGCAGAGACTGCCCGTGTAGGAGCAGAGCCGGTCCAGCCTCTTTCGACCCAGCAATACCAGCAGTCTGCTGTACGACCTGAACCAGCACCTCAGGTCAGCGCTCCTAAAAACAACACCATTACAGCACCTTTACCTTCCAAACCTGTCGATTCAAAGTTTGCCCAGCCTGAAATGCGGGACCAACAAACGAACAAAGAACAACCAGCACCACTCAAGCCTGATCATCGCTCTGCAGCTTACGCCAATGCCAGTACCAGTGCACCAAACCAACACAACAACAATAGTACCAAACCAATGTCGAATGGACCACAATCGGCACCTACTAAGCCAGCTGCCCCTGTCACAGAAGACAAATGGGCAAAGAAACCAGTAGTAGACTATTCTGGCGGAGATTGGGGAGATGACGATGACTGGGACTACTGATATATCCATTGTATATTTAAGTTCACATTTCTTAGCGATCATATAGCGGAGTTTATTATCTAATGTCAAGGGATTGAGATTGTATAAGAGCGGGATCTTAATTGGGAAAAGCTACGGTTGATAGATAACTTGTCAATCAACAATCAAGAGTGAGCCTGCTTGGCTATTCTCTTGTTACAAACATCAGAAATATTTGCTTGCAGTTCTCCTTGTTCGTAACCACGTTTATCTTTATCACGGCAAACTCTAACAACCAGCGCAACTTATCTTTCACTCGCTTGCGGCGGCATTTTCAACATCGAAAACCCAAGCGGACACAAACTCTGGAAGGAAGTCGTAAAGGAGATGACCTTCGCGATTTGGGTGATTATGAGATCACATTACCTCTCGAGAAGTTTAGAAAGTTTTACTCTGTTCTGCTGAAAAGATTTCCTCGCATTATAGTATGGTCCTGGTCCTGCCCAGCTATGCAGAACTCAGGTATTGTCACTGAGTGGAATGATGATGGGCCGTTAATCGAAAAACCCAAGGAAGAATATTCCGTGAGTTTCCTGAATCCTATCCCTTCTTTTCCATATACTAACCATAGCAGGGAAACACCTGGCAGAAGTTCCACGCCGTGAATGTCAATGAGGACGAAGAAACGTCGAACGTACAAACAGGCACAACCAGCGTCCTGAAGGCTCGAAAGCAGGCAGAGTCGAATGTTCTAGAGACCGCCAGGCCATCAAAGTTGTAAGGTCCAACGCCAGAAGCTTCACGTGGTAGGTCAATATACTCTATAAATGTGATCTGTACTTAGCTACGGGATAGTTCATCAATCCTCCCTTCCTCTCAAGCTAGCACTCTCCATCCTTTCAACTCTCACACTTTTTCCTTTCCCATCCACCCAGCATTACATTCCACAAACGGTCTTTCAGCATTCAATCTTACTCTTCATTCTCCTCCCTCCCCCTTTGCTTCATCGTTCACATCCACTTTGACCCTTTCTTTTCGTCGCATACCAATGGGCGACCTCTCTTCATGGGGGGGTCAAGCCGAAATCCCTGATCGAGAAATGGCGGAAAGTCCTTAATAGCTTCTAGGAAGAGCAAAAGGCTATCCGCGACCAAGTTGATCCTTCGGATGACGGAGAAGTACCTTTGTAACTGATGCAGTTGATACTCTTCTAATACTTGATTCTTAGGTTGGCTACTGATGAAGTCTTCGCAGACTTTGTGTGGAAGTTGCGAGTTCATGGGCTAAGTCATCGTACTTTTCAACTAAAGTTTAAGAAGAGGAGGTGGATTTCAATCTGTTAGCTTGATATATCTCGCTGAGATACCATGGCCTTTTCAATCAACACAAGAGTTTGCAACCTTGTTGAAGATCTCGACGAAGAGACAACATGAAGTTGCTGCTCGTCCTCCTGAAGGCGACGGCAAGAATGAGGCTGTCCGCGGACCCGAAGACATGGATGTTAATGGCTTTGCCAATCAAGGCCATCACCAAGGTGGCGACAACTTTGTTGGCAATGATGAGCGACGGGTCAATGCAGAGCCTGTGAACGGGTTTGACCCGATGATCGTTGGCAGCGCGCCCAACCACGAGGATCGCCCGCAGGGTCATGTCCATGGTACATGACAGGAGTCCAATGATGCTCTTCTCAATAGGACGACTCCCATTATTCCATATTATTGCTAATCCAACATTGCTATACAGGAAGCCCGGTCCTGCCCATCACCTCTAGGAACAACGTACGAACGACCATGCCTCATGGTTCGCAAAACGGACCAATATCTACCCTCGCTGGCAATTGCACTGTTCTCATCATTATCTGTATTCTCTTTCGGCCTAGCTGCCCTTTTTCAAGGGGGAGCTCAACTCGGCAGAGTGCTTCATTGGCGAGCCGTTCGCAAAACACATGTGTTCCCAACCCCCAGGATGTCAAGGTAGAAACCGACAGCCCTTTCGACTACCATGTGCCGATGACCTCTACCGATCAGTTGAAAAAGCTCATCAGAAAGCTGTTTGCTTATCCAAACGAGTTCACCCACGCGTCTCAGCTGGTTGTAGCGTAAATTATGATAACGTTTCGTCTGTATCAGAGTCTGACAAAGTGGTAGGAACACCGGGGAGTTGTTGAACATACTGAAGCTGCAGGCCAAAGGTCACAGAGTTGAAGGATAAAGTGGGGGATTAGAAAGGAGATGAGCGCCTAAGATGAAAGAATGCGCAGAGCAATGGGTGGCAAGGAGCGCGCCATCAACACTCAGCAGATAACATTTAGGGGTCGTTTGTATCAAAAGTCTGATGTCAAGTGACTCTCGTGCTAAATCGAGAAAAGGATGAAGTGTCAAGGAGAACTTTGAGGCCATTAAGATTTGTGAATAAAACGCCTTGACCAAGGTCTAAGTACTTGCTATTAAAATCGGGATCATTCAGGGCCATGCTCAGAAAAAATATCCCATCTTAAAACTAGAACGTCGTTGTGATAGGCTTGCGACGACTTGGAGAACACTGTTAATACCCAATACGACAATCTTATTGCTAAAAGCAAATCAATCAAAGACAAGCAAGCTGATACTAACAACCATCGTCTAATCTTTTAGTATAACTTTACCCTTAAAGTTATGTTACTCTTATCATGAGTCTGTGTTCAGATCTACCCTACCCTTCTCGTCATAAATGTCGCATAATGATAGGGAAAACCCCATCCCATATGTCTAACCATGAAGTTAATTACATATGCCCGGATGCGAGCACGAAACATGATTGAGGGTAGTGGCGTGGATGACATTGGAGCAAAGAATGCCACTTATAATATCGATGTCTGGTACGGAAACGGCCTAGCTTCAAATAATCACCAGGCTGGGATTTGCTTTCTGTTGAAGCAGGGCATTCAGCTCCTTATGGTATGGCAAGTCCATGATTTGGATCCCTTGGTGACTCTTGTTAGCAGGTTGGAGAACTCAGAGATATCCCAAGTCGCTTTTGTTCTCTCACTTTTATTCTGACTTGTCGAATAACCCTAAAGAGACTATCCAATGTCGATTGGAAGATAGAGGTATATAACAATGTAATACTCTACCAATAAGTACACCAACTTGTAGGACATCATCAAGACGCAAATGTCAGTACTGCCAATCTATTTCCCCTCATAATGACTTGTGCCATTGATGGATACATAGAGGCTCTCATCAATAAAGAGATAACGCTCATATAAAGACATATACTCCTGTAGCTGGTTGATATGTAGTAAGAGAAACAAGAGAGTTAACTTTACACAGAGCTTGTTAAAAGTAGCCCAACAGGCAGCCAATCAAAGCAATTTTGAAGAGCCAAAGACACTAAGTGGGTCTCGATCCAGAAAAATCTCCACAAAGCGCACGGTCGCTTATAATGTCTAAACTCAACACAGGTCTTCAACAAACACATCCGGTGTGGTGTATCGGTTTATCATTCCGCGTTTTCAATCCTTCAGGAACAAGAACCGCGGCGAGCGGGGTTCGACTCCCCGCACCGGAGAATTCAGAGAGCTCAGAGAGAGTTGACGATCTTTTTGTGGTGTTTTGCAAGGTGTGGTGAGACATATTAGCCACATACTGAACCAGCAGTATTTTTTTTTTTGCAGATATATCCGTTGTTCAGCGTCAAACAAGCCTGCTCATAAGCTCTTCTTAATGATGTGATCATGGAAATCTCACATTGTGACCTGGTTTATGCAAAAATGTCTCTTGACGGTTGTTTGAGGTCTTTCCGGTAGAGCACCCCGGAACACTCAACAATCTCCCAAGTCAAGGCATTTCCAGTCTTTGAAAGAACCCATTACATGAGATAACACACGTGTCTCTACCTATTACAGCTGGATCACTGTCTCGCCTCTTTTCTGATCTAGTCTCGCGGTTAGATCAGCCTCTCCCGTAGACCGTCAGCACATCTCATCACGGCGCTTTACATGCTGTTCCTACCGCCACATGTCCAATTATCCACATCCTCGTCACTATCAACCTCACTTTAAACCTATAGTCGCTTCACCTGTCAGATCCATGATTCCTTGACTTCTACCCAAAACGGCAAAACACCGCCGACGCCGAAATAAATATGGGGCGGCCCGTATCCCGGGGTCCCCACTAGCCGTCACCTTCCCTCCACCTCATCCGAAACGCACCTTCCTTCCGCTTGTTTGAGTCTATTCAAACAACACCATTGCATTTCTTAGAGCCAGCAACCATATTTATCTTCCAGCATACATAACCTTATTCCTCTGCAACTCGTTAGAACAGTGTCGCTCTATTGACGGCCGCACCCCGCATCATGACGTCTACCGCCCACCGCCGTCTACTCCAAGAGTATCGCGCTCTCACCAACAACCCACCCGAAGGCATCACCGCCGGCCCCATCTCCGAAGATGATCTTCTTCACTGGGAATGTCTTATTCAAGGGCCTGAGGGCACTCCCTTCGAGGGCGGAGTCTTTCCTGCGGAGCTCAAGTTCCCAAAGGACTATCCGCTTGCCCCGCCATCTATGAAGTTCCTCGCTGATGTGTGGCACCCAAATGGTTCGTCCACTCAACTTCTGCTCGACATGCATATACTGACAATCTACAGTGTACCCTAGTGGCCTGGTCTGCATTTCAATCCTTCACCCTCCTGGCGATGATCCCAACCATTACGAGCACGCATCCGAACGATGGTCACCTATTCAGTCTGTCGAGAAGATCCTTATCTCTGTAATGAGCATGCTCGCCGAGCCCAACGACGAGTCTCCGGCAAATGTTGAGGCCGCCAAGATGTGGCGCGAACGTCGCACTGAGTACGAGAACAAGGTCCGTGAGGGCGTTCGAAAAATGTTAGGTCTATAACATTCAAATACAATAAGTGGCAAGGGAGTATTGGCGCACATTTTAGGCACGGCGAGGTATGGCATAGCATGGTGTTCGGCAGCGGTATGGCCGCTTCAATAAATTTCATATACTCATCCGACATCTCATCTCAAGATACGCTTCTAAGTGAACGCTCTACAAACTCCGGTCCTTCATGCTCATGCATAGTTGATCATAGCCCATTCTCCGCCTTGAACTTATCCCAGCTCTCGTTAAGAGTGCTAAACACTAAACCTGCGATCAATCTAACCTCGGTACTTGCATCTTGGGGAAGCTGCGATATATTAGAGAAACTCTCAGAGTGGTGCTATGGTGATGTGATGCTTACCTTGTCGGGATGCGTCTTTGCGATAGCCTTCATATACGAGATCTTGACCTTGTTGTTCATAACTAGTTCGTGCAATCCCACTTTCTTCCAGCCACTGTTCTCCCAAAGCACGCTGTCGAGACTGGCGAGAAGAGCTCGAATGTTGTCTCGTTTTCCGTCGCGCCAAGCAGATACCCTGGCATCGACCTTCTCGGAGAGCACAAACTTCTCGTCATCCTCCTTGGCTGCAGCCTCATTCGCCTCACGAAGACGAGTAACGGCCTCGGAGCTCTTTTGGGGTCCGAGGCTAGCTGTGGCTGACGGTCGCGGCCGAGGTTTAGCGGCTGCTGGTTTAGGTGCTGGCTTGGGCTTGGGAGCAAGAGTGTTCTGACATCTCTGTCGACCCTTGATAGCATTCGATCCACCAACACCATTCTCAACACACAACTGCCAGACCGCACTGGCATCGCCCCATTTCTCCATTTGTTCAAGAGCCTCGGCTTTCCTGCTCAAGGCCTTACCATAGAGGTCTTTCAGATCTCGGTTCTCGTCCACTCCATTCTCATTCTTGACAGCTACCACCTCCCCTTGACCATTTCCAGGTCCGATAAGCTTGAGTGCACTATCGGCGTCCTCGACAGCCTGCTTCGGCTCTCCGGTCTTCAGAGCAGTCAAGGCACGGTTGCAGAGAAGGAGAATGGCAAGAGGATGTGTTGGTGGAACAGCTGACAGTGAAGACGAATACGATGAGTGGGCAGCAGCATAGTCACCTCGCTTAAAGTGAGCTGTACCTTGAAGTCGGTGCTGTGTTGAGGTTTGGAGCGCAACAGGGCTGATGGATGGAATTTCCCGAGCTGGTCTTGGCGAGGGTCTTGAGACAGGAGGTGAATGTCGTTTGGCTTGTGGGGTTGGTCGAGGTGAAGGCTGAGCGGGCCGTGAAGGCATAGACTGGGATGGTTTAATTTCTTGGGAGTTTAAGAGCAGATCTGGTTCTGGCTCCGCCGGCTTGGGTGTTGGCGCTGGCGAAGAGGCTTGCGAAGATGTCTTATTTCGCCTATTAGGGCTTCTATAGGTAGAGATCTCATCGTCTGCCGCCAATCTGTTGAGTCGCGATTTAGAATCAAAAGCCGATGTCGGCGGTGGTGCCTGTTGCTGCCATCGAGGAGCTGGACTAGCACGGCTACCAGCAGAGTGAGCGGGCGACTGTCCTCTGGATGGCTGAGGAGAAGCCCTCTGTTCAGTAGGCCGGCTGTTAGTGCGACGAGGCTGGGGACGGCCACCAGCTTCGAGCATCATGGCTTCATCTGTAGCATCTGCTCGTGCCTTTCCCGCGCTTTGCGCTCTAGTCTGCTGCTGTGCTTCCCGCATCCACTTAGGCTGGTTTGGATCGCCTTCTTGTTGGAAGTCAGCAACTGCCTGTTGCATCTTCTTCTGTCCAGTCTTCCAAAGTGAGTTGGCAGTTTTGAATAGACTGTTACCCATGGCAGCAGCTGTCTTTGCCAAGTCCTGATCACCTGCTGCAGGTGATCTGCTGTCACCTCTTGGAGGTCGACTTCCAGGCCTACTAGAACTAGCAGACGAGGGCTTACCCTGCGCCTGCTCCTTGGATTTTCGATGCGCCTCGTCCAGGAGCCAGTTCACTGCAGCTTGAGCATTGTAACCGTCGCCGCTCTCAACCAAAGCACGTCGGGCATCGTCGGCAGAAAACCCGTAATCCACAAGTTGCGCCACAGCTCGATCAAAAGGATCCTTGTTGACCCGAGGTTTTCGTTCAGTATACTGCTCACGTGCTGGTGGAGCTGACTCTTCAGATGAACTTGAGTCCTCCTCGTCTTCGATGGGCTTTCCAGGTTCAGGTGGTCGACTCGCTTCCTGCTTACGCCGCACCTCGTCAACTGGACGAGCAAGGTCTCCCAAAAAGTCGTCGTCATCTGCCGATTGAGTAGGTGCCACAGGAGCAGCAGCAGGTTTCATCTGGTTCAAACCAAAGGGGTCATCATCTTCAACACCAAATCCACCTCCATTCGCTCCATTTCCGTTGGTATTCCACGCGTTGGGATCGCTCAAGTTAATTGGCGCAGCTGCTGGAGCACCATTCGCCGGAGTTGATCGATGCGACTCGGGAGGAGGGTAATAGCTCGAATTATCGACCTTGGTATCTTTATTAAAGGCGGCGAAGAGGTCGTCGTCGTCGGTCTTTGGTGTATTTGAGACAGGTGCCTGTTGTAATGCGGGGCTCGTCGATGCACCTCTACTTCCAAGGGCGTCCCAGAACTGTCCATTACCAAACTGGGCCTCCTGTTGTTTCCTCCTCTCCTCTTCCTTCTGACGTTTCTCAGCCTCAAGTTGCGCCTGTCGCTCCGCCAAACTTAAGTTCTGCTTCGTCTTCGCTGGTCCAAAATTCATCAAATTGCTGAAACTATCCTGCGATGGCTTCGTCGGTGCCGGTTTAGGGGGAACAGAACCAGAGCCCTGTGTGGACAGAGGCGTGTTACGTCCAGAGCCCAAAGGGGATGGTGTTGGTCGCATTGACGCGAATGCCGAGTTCATAATAGGCGGCTTCGGTTGGCCACCTGTTGGCTTAGAAGACCAATCGAGGCCTGAGAGGTCGTCCATCGTGGAATATCTGGTATGTTATCGGGAATAGTTAATCATAATACGAGAAGTGAGTAGTTAGTTGTCTGTTGTCGCAACTGTGAGATGCGACCCAATCCAGGGGCCGCATTCGGTTGTGGGGTTATGTGGCTGTGCATGGTTTGTGGCTCTTATCACATGATTGTGTTCAGCAGATGGAGGTTATCAACTGCTTAATGATTTCGATTTGGGTTTGTCAAACTAAATATTTCCAAAATTCAGTAGATTGACTTTAAATAAATTACATTTTCTGTTCTTTATGAAAGGAATGTGCCAAATTTGGCAAACCACTATACTTGTCAATTCAAGCAGCAATGTCTGAGAACCAAAGACAGTGGCGTTTTACAGAAACCCAGGTTTTATTCAGTCTTGTAAGAGCTGGAGCCAAGACAAACATAAGATCTTGGATGTACGAACTCTGAGAAGACAGCAGATGTTAGCAGTATAATTTTATGTATCAGACAAATCATTATACTAGTCAACAAAGCTGGCAATGCTTTGACATTTCACTTATGAGTCGCCTACCCTACACCGCCCTGGTGGTTGCCATGAATCCCTCGGATATATAGGCGCACAACTAAAGTTTGGTGTAACTGACGAATAATGGCGCAAAGCCATCAATGTGAATCACGGTATGGCATGTCAAAGCGTAGATTTCATACCAAATATTGCACCCTCATGTAAATAAGAGGTCGTGCGTGC